AGAACTCAAGAAAGCACTACACTTGTGACTACAGTTTTATTAAAAAGGTTACATACAACTCAGGAGCAGCCAAATGGAAGAGACGCATAGGGCAAGGTATGGGAGGTGGTGGAGGGTGGGGTGGTGTGCAGAGCTTCTATGCCTTCTCCAGAATGCCAGCATCCCAGCACATCAGTATGTTCACCACCCTGGAAGCTCCCCTAAACCTCCTTGTTCTGAGCTTTTTAATTGAGGCTTTATTATGTAGGTGTGATTGATTATATTACTGGTCGTTGGTGAGTGGATTCAATCTCCAGCCGGTCTCCCCTCTCCAGCCGGTCTCCCCTCTCCAGAGGTTGGGAGTGGGACTAGAAGTTTTAAACCTCTAATCACAAGGTTGGGTTTTCTGGTTCCCACCCCTAATCCTGAACCCTTCTAGGGCTCACCTCATTAGTGTGAATTCGGGTATGGTTGAAAAGGGCTTGTTGCAAATATGGAATTACACTAGTATCACTCAAGAAATTCCGTGGCCTTTAGGAGGTCTGTGTCAGGAACTGGGAACAAAGATCAGAAACATGTTTAATTATACCACACACCTTCTAAATGTATCTTATAAGGAGGCATATTTATGTGATATAAGTGTTGATGATGTTAAATTTGATAACTTTTTAAAAGTGATATCCACCAGGTTTCTCCAATAGTTTTTCCCATTGTAATTAATAAGTATCATACGGGCAGATGCTTTGAGACTGTGTAAATACTCTGTTCATCAACAACCTACTGACCAGTTTTAGCATCCACTGATTTTCCAACTCCATCATACCTCTTATATTTGTTAGCTGAAATTCTAATGTAAGGGAGAGTTTTGCTTTCTCCTTCATTCATGCATTCACATCATTATGGACTCATGGTTTAATATTTTAGTCAATTATATTTTTATTATCTTTATGCTGATGCTCCAATTATAACAAATTTGCTGAGTCCTGTGTATTTTTGTTATATCCTCATTACTTTTGGGGCATTTTTTTCACTTTCTGGCTAATCAGAATGTTTGAGGCCTATCTTACACTTTCCCTGCCCTAGCCCTAGAATCATTCTTTTTTCCCAAGAAGCCCTGATTTCTTTTAGTGGGGGGAATGGTATTAAGAAACCAAAATTAAGGCACTAGATGTGCTCATTTCTGCTGGTATATTAGCAGACAGAGCTAGGAAAATAACATATAAATATACATATACATCTATATTGTATTTATTTATCTATCTACTTATTATAGTAAAAACAATTGAATTCATACTGATACTTCCAATTTCATCTGATAACTAAAGATGCATTATTTTTCTTCTTTTTTTCTTCTGTTGAGTGTTTCGTTCTCCAAAAATGAAAGACTAGGCTTCCTTATTTTATATATATATATATATATATACACACACACACACACACACACACTCATGTGTTCAAGCCACGTTTCTAGCTCTTTCTAGATTTTAGTATCTTTCTCTTTAGACTACAGAATTTCCTTTCGCACTTCTTATAGTACATACAGTGCTGACAAATACTGTCAGTTTTAGTTTATATGAAAATGCCTTTATTTTTCCTATATTCTTGAAGGATATTTTCACTGGATAGATGAACCACTATCAGTTGATAGTAGTTTTCTTTCAATATTTTAAAAAAGAGTTTTCTCATTTTTTCCTTGTCTTCATTTTTCTCAGGAGAGGTCAGCCATCCTTTGTATCATTTTCAACTTATATGTTTCACCCTACATATCATTTTCACACCATGTGTGTAAGCTTAAGGTTTTCATCAATTTGGGAAATTTTTCTTTATAAATCTTTAAATATTTTTCAGCTTCATTATCTTTGAGACCCCAAATTGTGTGTGTGTGTGTGTTTGTGTGTGTGTATACACACACACTTGATAGTATCCTAAAAGACACTGAAACTTTGTTAATGTTTTGTGGTTTGTTTTCTTTTTCCTTTCAGTCCTTCTGTTGATCAACTTTCTGTTGATCTGTCTTCAGGATCACTGACTCTTCAGCTGTTTTCAGTGGGCTGTTAAATGTATTAATGAACTTGGTGTTTTATACACTATACTTTTCAGTTCTAGAATTTTCATTTGACTATTTTAATAGTTTTTTCTTCCTTGAAGAGATTCCCATCTCTGCAAATAAGTTACTACTATATTTTTCTTTAAATCCCTGCATTAATTTTTAATAGCTGCTTTAACGTCCTTATCTGTGAAGTCCAACATGTGAATCATCTTGGGGTCATTTTTTATTGACTACTTTTTCTCTTTACTATGGGTTTCATTCTCCTGTTTCTTTACATATGTGGTGATTTTTGTATTGTCTGCTGCTCATAGTCTGTTTCACTACATTTGGATTATATCCTCTTACTTTAAAAAAGGGATGAGATTTGTTCGGGCAGGCAGTAAAATTACTGGCAGATTATTTTGATCCTGTCAGGCTTGGTCTTATTATTTGTTAGAGTGGATCTATTCTAGTTTTGAATTTAGTCTTAGGGAATACCCACAACTATATGGTATAGTCCTTACTCCTAAGGAGTGGTCTTTCCCTGTCTCAATGCCAGAGCTGCTGAATGAATTCTCTACTTTGGCTGGGCTGGAACTCCATTGTCTCCAAACACTTCACTAATTGATGTCACATTCAGTTTTTAGCAGGTAATTTTTGCTAGTCCTTTAGGGTTTTTGCACTATACCTGCCCAAAGTGACTAGAAACTCAGTATCTTTTGGTCACCGCTTCCAAACCATCTTCCTTCCAACCCCCCAGCATAGCCCCTGTGCTTTACACTTTCCAACCACTTCAGAAGTTTGGAGCTCCATTCAGTTCTGTTTCAAAGTGTTGCCCTCATTGGGTAGCACCTGCCTTCTCTAAAGTAGGAAAATGCCCTCAGGCAGAAAGCCAGAATGTTGAATGGCAATGATATATGTTGTCTTTCTCTTTGCTCTGCCCATGGCTTTGTTGTCTTGTATTTTGTCTAGTCTTATAGTTGTCTTCAGCAGGAAGGAATTCTGGTACCTGATACTTTGTTATGGCAAGTGGACATCCAAGGCTTGTGTTCTTTCATACTGTCATGTTCTTATAAACAAATGGTGAAAGGAATAATCACAATGATTGTAGTGTTCCATTTTTTTCTTTGGTGTTTACTGGACCTAGAGGGGTTAGAACTCCTTTACGTATATTGTCTTTGCACTGAGTACATTATTATTAAAGGAAAACTCCTTGAGATGTCAAGAGTTTGGAACTTCACCTCAAATGAAATTTGAAGGATGTATTTATTCCCACCCACTTCACTGGAGAGTGAAATTCAGAAGTGCTGTTGATTTTAAACTAACAGTAGACACAAAAAAGATGTGAAAGTCCTACTAATTTTAATCTGTCAAACTCTAATGCTTTGATTAGGTAGTTGGGTTAAATCTGCTTTATAAATTGTCTCATAATTCAAATGTTTATTAACAAAGTAAAACTGAGGATATATTTTTATTCATGTTTTACTTATTGGTTTGTAAAACAATTCACTATATGTCAATAATTTTTCACTTCTTTAATTCATCAACATCATTATCTTGTCTGCTTTCTTTAGACAATATCTAAAGATAAAATAAGAATTTTTTTAGGAAGATTCAGCTAAGGATTTTCTCTGCATCTCAATTCATGTAACTTTGAGCATGTTTGCAGAAAAAGCAAAAATGTAGTAGTGTTTATAATATAAAATATTTATGCTGATTTTTCACCATTTTATAGCCTTTCTTTTGAAATTATCTTTAAGCTAAGTTGGGCCCTCTCAGGAGAAAATTGGCCTCATTTCTGACCCCAATTGATGGTATCTAGTGTAATCACTTACTTCATTCACGGCTTTACTGTGACTAATTTATTTTTTATTTTTAAAAAAAGAAATGACCTTCAAAGCTCATCAAAAGATGAGCTTTTCCAGTGTGGATATTCCATATTCTCTGAAGGGAATTCCAACTGCGTAGTTTTTGGAGCAGTGATGCTATTATTAGATTGAGCATGTAACTCCCCAAGGCTATCGCTTTGAAGGGAACAGCACTCATTCAGATGTTTATGTCCTGGAATGCTTGTTTCCATTCCACTCTTACCTTATGTAGTTGTAGCTATTGATTTCCTCTACTTTGGTTTTCCCTTTACTGACAAGATTTGCTTTAAACTATATGGTAAGGTAAAAATGATATCATTTGATAACCATGGTATTATTTGTTAATGAATTCCTTCATTGATTTAACACATGCTTTTGATTAAGTTCCTGTGCTAGGAATACAGTAACGAACAAAAAAAAAAGAAAAAGAAAAAACCCTCGTAGAGTTTACAGCCTAATTTTAGATCTTCCCAGTCTAAAGTGTAATGGACAATTAAACTTTACCTTTATTTCTTTAATTCATACTTAGAAATTTAACACCTCAAAAGTCCTTTATGATTATTGGATGTGTATAATGTGCCTTGTAAAAGGGGAAATTCAAAAGATTAAAGGATTGTTTACAATCTGACGCAATCGGATTGTGTGTGTATATATATGTATAATTTAAAGTCTTATGAATACTTGAGATGGAAGTACTGAGGAACTGTAAAATAGCCCTTACAAGGGAAGTAAAGTCATTTATTGAAAAGGTTGTTCTGGAGGCACAATAGAATCAGGTTGTGAGATGATATTACAGAGGTGGAGAGATGCCACTTTTTCCTGTACTTAAGTACAGCTATCTAAAGTGGTTAATATTTTGAATTTTCTTTATTTCTGAACCTTTGTTTGAGTCTGTATTTTTCTCTCTTAAACACTAGCTGCTTATAAAAAAGCTCAGCAACTTAAATGTATCTTTGTCAAATATAATATGTACTTACATGATGATGCCTTTCACAACAATAAAATTGTTACTCGGAGTAACAAGGTAAGTCCAAGGTTAGATTTCTCTAATCTAATAAATCAGAAAAATCAAATCAATCTTTGAACAGGTCAGTCATTAAATTGAATTTCTTTTTCCATACTAGGATCCTCGGTTCAATGCAGAAGTTGACCAAATTACAGGCTACAAGACACAAAGCATTCTTTGTATGCCAATTAAGAATCATAGGGAAGAGGTAAGCCAATTTTCCATTTTATAAAAGGTCATTGGAAATATTTTTCTTTTTGAAAAATATGTTGTATTTACTTTGCATATATATGAAATAATGCTTTAGTGATAAATTATCTATAAAGTTCTTAAATGTTCTGCTTGATATTTTTTAATTTAGATTTTTAGTTACAGGGCCTAATTCTGATTATTACTTTACTATGGCCATTTACTTAGAAATAAATTTTATGCATGTCATATTCTACCTCCCCTCTTCCTGAAGGCCTTATTCTATCTTAAGATATGTAGTTATGGCTGTGATTAGAATCAATTCATTACATATTATGTTTTAGGAGTATGAGTAATATTCATAAATGATCATCCAACTACAGTGGTCATTAACTGATTTCATTCAAATTGAGATTTTGAAAAAATGGAAATCATAGCTAACTCTAATTATGTAAATTTCAATTTGAAATTTTAACAGGCAAATGAAAATATGTTAGTTTATATTTCACCTAACTAGAAGATTTGGATTCTGTTATCACTGAGTTCCCTCTTCATTTTACACTTATTTGGAAAAAAAGAGTTAATAAATTATCAGTTAAACTGAATATTTCAATTGCGCATTCTCAATCCTGACTGTGTATTACAACCAACTGGAGAAGTCTAAAAGATTACCAATTGTATTAATTGGGGTTCTCCACAGAAACAGAATCAATAGGATATATGTAGACATATGAGGGGATTTATTTATGAAAATTAGCTTGTGCAATTATGGAGACCAAGAGGTCCCACAATCCGCCATCTTCAAGCTGGAGAACCAGGAAAGCCTTTGGTGTAATTCAGTCTGAGGGTGAAGATCTGAGAAACTGGGAGGTTTGCTGGTGTGAGTCCTAGAGTCCAAGGATCTGAGTATTTGAAGTTCTGTTTTCTCAGAGGAGGGAGAGGATGGATGTCCCAGCTTCCGAAGAGAGAGCAGAATATTCTCTTCCTCTGCCTTTTTTCTCTGTCTGGGCGCTCAATGGATTGGATGTTCCCCCCCTACATTGGTGAGGGAGAATCTTTTTCACTCAGTCTACTGATGCAAATGCTAATCTCTTCTGGAAACACCCTCACAGACACACATGGAAATGTTTTACCAGTTATCTGGGTATAGCATTTAAAAATTCTAATGCCGAGGTTTCACCTTAAATCAGAATCTCAGGGATTGGGACCCAGGTATTAGTATTTGTTAAAGCTCCCAAATGACTGCAATTTGTGGCCAAGGTTGAGAACCACTGTCAATCATATTAGAAGTATTTGATGCTTCTACTTGATTTATATTCAAATTCTGATGTTTATTCTCCCTCCTCCATCTAGTCTCTTACCAAACCCCATTGATTTTTTTCACTAGAATGTTTCTGATTTCAGTATTTTTTTATTTTTATTTGTGCTACTTGCATGCACCATGATTCAGATTTTGAAGTTCTTGTAAGGTGTTTCTATCCTTGCAGTCAATTACCCTTTAGTCCATTCTACATATCACTGCCCTGGGAATTTGCCTAAAACACAATTTTCTAAATCAGTGTTAGGTGTTGTGCATAGGAATCACCTGGGGATTTTGTTAAAATGCAGATTCTGAATTCAGTAGGTCTGGGTAGAACCTGAGATTCTTTTTTAACAAGTACCAAGTTGATGATTACCTGGGTCTACTGATCACAATTTGATTAACAAGGCCCTAAGTCAGTTACTTTTCAGTAGTCATTCTCAGTGCCTTAGAGTTACCACATCGTTTCTTAAAAAGTGTAGTTCCAGCAGTAGTAACTAAAAATGCCTGCAGCAATGACATAATATGAGATTAATTAATTAGTTTAATTAACTCAGTATGTGAATGAATATATAAAATTGAAAAGGCCGTACATGGACTGATGATTATAGTGTTACTAATGTGGTTGCCAGGTATATCAAATTTTAAAAAAGTTGTGTCCCATGCATTATTTGGGACATCATTATACTAATAAATTATTTGTTGTTTATCTGAACTCAAATCCAACTCAAATTTTATCTGGCAGGCCTAGTTATAAACCACAGACTATGATTCTGTACACTTAGGAAGACAGTGTTCAGCTTTTAGTTATTAAGGGTACTTTAAAATCGTGAACCCCAAAACAGCTTTGTACTGGCAAACAGATTCAGCCTGAATTATGCCCTGATTAAGCTTCTCTTCTAGATAGTGTAAACAATTTCTCCAACAATCAGGATTGGGGGAACTGATGAGAATGCAACAGAATCACTAGGAAGAAGTGAATAGGATGGCCCCTTCTACAGAAAGTATTCTCAGGATATACATTCTTCCACATTATGACTGCTGGTGAGGATGATTTAAATTAAATAAAAAATAAAAACAAAAAACACAGCTATATTGAGATATAATTTACATACTGACATGGTTTGTCTGTGTCCCCACCCCAAATCTCACCTTGAATTACAATCCTCATAATCCCCACATATCAAGGGCGGGACCAGGTGGAGGTAATTGTATCATGTGGGCGTTTTCCCCCATGCTGTTCATGATAGTGAATCTCATGAGATCTGATGGTTTTATAAGCTTCTGGCATTTCCCCTACTTGTACTCACACTATCCTGCCGCCCTGTGAAGGTGTCTGCTTCTCCTTTGCCTTCTGCCATGATTGTTAGTTTCCTGGGGCCTCCCCAGCAATGAAGAACTGTGTGTCAATTAAACCTCTTTCCTTTATAAATTACCCAATCTCAGGTATTTCTTCATAGCAGTGTGAGAACAGACTAACACACATACAATACAATTTACTCAGCTTAAGTGTACAGTTTGATGAATTTGAGATATGTATATTCGATCATGTAACCACCACTGCAATCAAGACATAGAATGTTTCTATCACCTCAGATGTTCCCGTGTACCCCTTTGCAGTTGGTTTCCTCCTCCTCCCTTAACCCACAGCTCCTGACAAGCACTGATCTGCTTTTTGTCACTATTGTTTTGCTTTTCTAGAATGTCATTTAAATGGAATCATACAGTATGTGGTCTTTTGTATCTAGCTTCCTTCACTTAGCCTAATTGGTGTGAGATTCAGCCCTACCGTTGAATGTATCAATAGTTTGTACCTTTTTATTGCTGAGTGATTTATTCCATGGTATGGATATACTACAATTTGTTTATGCATTCATCAGTTGATAAACATTTCAGTTATTTCCAGTTTGTGTCTATTATAAAAAAAAAAAAAAAAGCTGCTGTCAGTGTTTGCATACAGACCTTTGTGTGGACTTACGCTTTCACATCTTTTGGATAGGAGGGCAATTGCTAAGTCATATGGTAGGTATTTGTTTAATTTGATAAGAAATTTCCAAACTCTTCCAAAGTAGCTGTTCCATATTTCATTCTTATCAAGGTGTATGAGAGTTCCCCTTACATCATATCCTTGGTAACACATAGTGTATCAGTCTTTTTTATTCTGGGCATTCTACTGAGAGATGACTTAAATTTTGTTACATGAATATATAACCCCACTCTTAGCCAAGGACCTGCTGCCTTCTTACAGATCTGATTGGAGTGGGTGCGGCCACAGATCCCCAACTAGCCCGAAGCTCTCCTTTAGATTTCTGCTGGGTTCTTGAGCTTTCTTGTGTTTCTCTGTGTGCTTTCACATCCTCTCCTGCTGGTGGTGACTTAATATGAGGCTTGGACTCTTACACCAACCATTTCATGAGATTAAAAAATCTTCAGTAGCTTCACTGGAGACTAAATACAGGCTGAGTATCTCTAATTTGAAAATCCAAAATGCTCCAAAATGTGAAACTTTTTGAGTGCCAACATGACCCTCAAAAGAAATACTCATTGAAGAATTTTGGATTTTTCTGTTGGGGTTGCTCAACTGATAATAATGCAAATATTCGCAAATCCAAAAATAATCTAAAACTTGAAACACTTCTAAGTCCCGAGCATTTCGGATAAGTGATGTTCAATCTGTAACTTTATTCAAGAGAGGGCTTCCAGAACACAGTTTTTTTTTTGTTTTGTTTTGTTTTTTGAGACGGAGCCTCGCTCTGTCACCCCAGGCAGGAGTGCAGTAGTGCAATCTCCACTCACTGCAAGCTCCACCTCCTGGGTTCACGCTACGCCGTTCTCCTGCCTCAGCCTCCCTAGTAGCTGGGACTGCAGGTGCCCGCCACCACGCCTGGCTAATTTCTTTTTGTATTTTTAATGGGGACGGGGTTTCACCGTGTTAGTCAAGATGGCTATGATCACCTGACCTTGTGATCCTCCCGCCTCGGCCTCCCAAAGTGCTGGGATTACAGGCGTGAGCCACTACGCCCAGCCTCTTTCTCTCTTTCTTTCTTTCTTTCTTTCTTTCTTTCTTTCTTTCTTTCTTTCTTTCTCTTTCTTTCTTTCTTTCTTTCTTTCTTTTCTTTCTTTCTTTCTTTCTTTCTTTCTTTCTTTCTTTCTTTCTTTCTTTCTTTCTTTCTTTCTTTCTTTCTTTCTTTCTTTTCTTTCTTTTCTTTCTCTCTCTCTTTCTCTCTTTCTCTCTTCCTTTCCTTTCCTTTCTTTCCTTTCTTTCCTTTCTCTCTTTCTCTCTTTCTCTCTTTCTCTCTCTCTCTCTCTCTTTCTCTCTTTCTCTCTTTCTCTCTTTCTCTCTTTCTTTCTTTCTTTCTTTCTTTTTCTGAGACAGAGTCTCACTCTGTCACCAGGCTGGAATGCAGTGTGGCATGATCTCAGCCCAGTGCAACCTCTGCCTCCTGTGTTCAAGCAATTCTTTTGCCTCAGCCTCCTGAATAGCTGGACTACAGGCGCGTGCCACCACGCCCAGCTAATTTTTGTATTTTTAGTACAGATAGGATTTCCCCATGTTAGCCAGGATGGTCTCGATCTCTTGACCTCATGATCTGCCTGCCTCGGCCTCCCAAAGTGCTGGGATTATAAGCATGAGCCACCGCGCCTGGCCCACAACACAGTTTTTTAAACATCTTGCTGACCCTCCTCATTCTCCTTCCTTCCCATCTTGCTCCCTTTCC